AAAAAGAATCAGTGACTGGTATTATAACTGGGTTTAAAGATTATATTAGTCAGTCCGATATTGCTAATCTGAATGGGATACAATACTTATTGAGAGGCATATATTGGATAACTAACCCGAGCAAAGGTAGTCTAGAGCAGTGATCATCAGTTCGGAAGATTTTTTGCTAGGCCACAATGCATGTATTTATGTGCGACAAAAAATAAGTGGATCATCAGTCAGATCTTGTGTGATATATTAATTTTCGCATATATATTCGAAAAACATATTAACCTTTATTCTTTATTTTTTTTCTGAACAAATATGAGAAAAATGTGAAAGGAGGTCTAGTTGCAATGCAGGACCAGCTCTAAAAGTAAATATTAACGTTAAAGCATATGTTATGAAGGGCTGAGGGACCCACAATTTTGAGATCGCCAGGCGTAAAATCAAGTTTGTGTCTTCCAGTAGATCTACATGTGAAAAGATATGAGGGTTCCGTTTACATGTGCTTTCATGGAACTCTTGGCATCAGACGACAATACTAATCACGCCTCATACCTCCTTAACTTCGGCTTGGCGCTCTTTTTCCAAGCAAGATATAAAGCATGTAGTAGTATGTGGAAGTTCAGCTAACTTTCCGCAAAAAAAACTTTCTCGTAAAATAACGCAAAATAAGGTATATATGCCCTAAATTATGTATGTATGGGAGCGAGTTTTTTCTCACTATGGGTCTTATATTTAGAAAAATAAAATGGACGAAATCACTCTCAATTGTCTTATCGTTCCCATAGGAAAACTTATGAATATCCCTTGCGTTAAAGTAATACAGACGATTACAGTTGAAAAAGATGAAAGTTATATCATGCTCGAAGCTACAATTCAAAGCAGATTGGGGGTTGAGATCCCACTCAAATTATGTATAATTCAAGACGGAAGCAATAGTGAAAAGGTAATGGATAGTAGTATCCCTATTTCTGATTATTTTACTGAGGAGCCTAAAGCAGAACACTTCCATATCACTGTATACCTCTGGTTAGAATAATCTTCTGTATCATGTAGCGCTATAATCGCAATTTTTATGTATTGTAGAGTTGCCTCTGGCAACCAACGTTTTTATTTCATAAATAAAGTATTATTTTATCGAACGTATATGAGAATGGATCACGTGAAATGATATAATCCCTGTGCGACTTAAAAACCTATATTAACGCTCAGCCCTTTCCCAGAAATAAATTTTTAACTCACTTCAGAACGTAACACTATTTTTTATCTGAGCCTATTTTCACTATAAAAAGCGCTATGCCTGTCTCTGAAACTAACACACCAGCTTCTACCTCTACTAACGTCACTGTAACAGAAGAAAAAAATGCTCTCACTCAAGCTGAGGTTGTTCGAAAATATAAAATGAAGGAGCTTATAGACTACTTGAGTAAGGAAGAGGACTTGGAGCTTGTTCAGGAGGATTATGATATAATCGAAAAGGAGAGAATTACTGGCCGTGCCTTTCTCAAGATAACCAAAGAAGAACTTCGCAGTTATGGAATGCCAGGTGGACCCGCTTCAGACCTTGCGGACTTCGCTAAGAAACTTGGCAAGTGTAAATTAAAGTCGTTCTCGTCCTACAAAACCTTGAAAGACTTAAGTGATGTGCTGGAGAATATGGGATTGTTAGCGGAGATATAACTCGCATTCCACAGTTCATACCACGTAAGTAATATCAGATTAAAGGAGTTCTTTTTTGTATATTTTGAGCTCACATATCATAATATAGCCACCCACACCATCAACGAAAGCACCTCCGAATTTAAGCTATGCATTGACGACATTCTCTGTAGAATAAAAAATATGGGTCCAGTCGTAGATAGTAACGAAGCTATGCAATGCGAGTACATTTCAACAATCTTACATACGGCTGTAAGTATTCTTGGTGACTTGGTAATCACACCTCAGGTGAATATAATTAGTGAAGAAAACACAGACTATGCCATCAAAAAAATTATCAGCGAGATGCTGGAGGAAATAATTTGCATAACCGAAGGCAAACAGAATCAGGCGACTATGGGTATCTGCCAAAACTTACTACAATGTCGAAGTGCTTGTGATATAAGTATAACAGATTCTACTAGATTGCTCGCTATAAGATGATCATGGGCTATTGCTAACTTACTTCTCTATTTCCCTCAGATGAATATAAATATGAACAAGAAAAAAAGAAAGGTGGATGAGGCATTCGATCCTGACTATGACTACGTCTATGGTATAGTCAGTACTGGAACTGACTGGTATTTCATTCTTCATAGTACCGAAGGCATCTACTGTACAAGCAGGACTGAATATCAAATTTCACTAACAGAAGATGCTCTCAAAGATGATACAGAATTGCGTAAGAACGTGAAGAGGGTTTTAGAAGTGATCGTAGAATTATTAAAGGATAGAGCAGTAGGTAGTGAGGAACCCGCAACTAAGAAGTGCCGTATAGAAGAGATAATCAATAAAAAATAATTGTATAGTAGATAGACGTCACGTATCGTGAACCATGTTCACAACATTTGTATTTATTTTTTCATATATTAATAAAAAATTTTCTTGGCAAATTTCAGCGAACTCGGTTCGCCTAAAATCACATGATATATTTTTTTATTTTGAATGCTTATATGCAGTGTATTAGTTATATATAGACTATGGCATCTGAGCTTGAGTTATCGAAACAGCGTATCACTGAACTTGAGGCTGAGAACGTAAATCTTAGAAGAAAGCTCTCAGTGTCTGATGCTGAAATAGCTGAACTTAAGCGCAGAAATAACGAGTTTCTAAGAGCAAATAAGGAATATAATAAGAGGCGTGATGCTGAAAATGCCAAACTCAAGGCCGAGAATGTTGAGTTTAGAGATAGACTCACGAAAGTGGAACAGAATCAGACTCTACAAAACGCCTTAACGGCAAATGATAATTCTTTTAA